GTACTGTGGTCAATAGAGTGTCACCCGTTTTAACCGCCTGTTTTAACGGTGTATTGTGTCCGACATCGTCAAGTATGTTAATACCGGCGCGGAAAGCTTCCTTACCAATTGCACGGGCTCCGCTAGCTAAATAAGGAAGTACACGCCTGAACAGTCCGCCAAGAAAATTCCCGATTCCATGTCCACGTTGATAGTTCGAACCAGAAAAAACGCGAGGAAGCCTTCCGCCGCTTTGTACTTCATAATATTCCTGATATTGCGCCATAACGGATGGCTTTTTAATCAAATAAACGTCTAAAGTGTAATGTCGCCGTCAGCGTTCCAAATTCGAATGGAATACGTTCACCCTGCTGATCTCTTATATCTATTTCTATTACACGGAAATTTGTTTTACGAAGTAGAATGTAATTTCCAGGTGAGTAATGTTTTACTTGATTAGAACCATACTTGTAATTATTCGGAGTATCGTTAGAAACTATTCGAAGAAGCGGCGATAGCACATCTCCAGTTATGTATGGTTCGCAAATGTCGCAATAAACAAATAACTTGTCGGAGATACAGCGGACTAGACTGACCGGCTCAGAACTCTCCGAACCACCGCGCCTATCTATTACAAAAGCTGTATTAACAAAGGTTGACTCAAATCCGAGTATACGCCGTAAATTATCGCTAAGCTTTACACTATGAATCTGCTTGCAATGCCCTTCTTCACATGTAAGCATTATAGTAACTTTATTACCACGCCTCAAATTTAGTATCCATCTGAAATGCGCTTTCTCATGAGAGCATAATAGATTAATAGCTTCTATAAGATCGGCTTCTGTAGAATAAATCCCTGATGATATCGGAATTTTAACTGATGAAACGTCGCCATTAGGAAGAGTATTCTCGAATGTAATTAGGGATTTATCCGCACGTAAATGTACAAAACTAGAAGGAAATTGAATCTCAGTGAGCGCAACTTCCCATCTTCCTCGCAAATCTATTCGATTCGGCAATTCGGTAGTAAAGCAAGAGGTAGTGTTATCAGGAAAATAACGCATACTACTATTGCTCGGAAGAACCATGAGAAATTGATCGTTCATCTTGCTGAAGGGAATGTAAACTCGTGGCCGGAATCCAGGAGTCAAATTTAGAGGGATAGCCTTGCCAGCTAACTAATAATTGCTTATTAGGACCGCGATCTTTACTTTTTATCACGCAATCAACAATAAATACTTCTTTTCTCAAATTTTTATTAACCGGAACTAATTCCTGTTCATAAAAAANTCCATCTATAACTTCATCCGCTAAATCGCACAATTCATACACTGGGGGTTTGCGCCACGTTAGCACGCGATAAATTTTAAATATCTCTTCGCTCCACTTTGCTTCATATCCTTTCTCGAAGGCTACTTTAGCTCTACTAACACGTACATAATTGCCTGCTTTGTATTTAATTCTTCGGTTTTTCCAAAAGCGATTTTTTTCGGCGTATCGCTGCTCCATATTTTTACGCGCAATACTAGCGTTTTCTAATGTAACACCAGCAGGCACCATTTTTGTAGTAGAATGGCGAGTATGATTGTAAGCGTGTACAAGATCTTGCAAAATATCAATATAACACCGTGTATTTTTATATGTAAAATACCGCCACATTCTTTCTTTAAGCGTTCTGTTAAAACGTCCAATCACGGTCGCTTTGACATCAGGATTACGTACTACACGAAAGTGTATATTTTTATTTTTTAAAAACTCCTGCACCGTTCGCGCAACAAATTCTTTGCCCTTATCAGTCTGTAAATTTACGGGTATCCGTCCTCCGTTTTTCGAGAATACATTTTGGAAAGCGCGTATAACACAGTTCGCTGATTTATCGCGCAGTGGTTGCACCCAGGCGTATTTGCTAAGCACATCAATAACTGTTAATAAGTAAGAATAATTGTTGTAGTAATTTTTTAGATTACGAAGATCGATTAAATCAGCTTTCCATACATCGTCGATATTTGTTACATTATAATGCAAACGTTGAAATTTACGATGTATCGAGCGATGCAAAGTATATGCGTCTTGCGATTCTAGCCAGCGTACAACAAAGCGGCGATCGAAAGCAGGATTAGAGGCTCGCACCAGATTCTCCACTGCAGAGTATCCAGCGTAATGCGTGGGATTGTAATATAATTTTTCCAGCCCCGTCATTCTAACGCACTCCAGTTGATTATTTCTTGTTTTTTCTTTGATATTTTTTCGACAGCTGATGAAGGAGAAACGTCTCCGCTTTTCACTTGTGGGGAAAATCTGGTAGGATAAGGAGTTGAAGTTCCCTGTTGAAGCGCTAATTTAAAAGATTTCTTAGCAGTAGACAGCAAATTGGGATTTCCTATAATTGACGATGGCGCTTTTACTTTGCGCAGTAAACTGGCAAACTGATCACGTCCTCGCACTTTTATTGTTTTTCTTTCGCGCATCGCGTCGTTGATGAGCTCCGCGATATCCCCACCCTCTATAACGTTACCATCTATATTCACATTACCTTCTTCATCCCAGCTGATTCTGTTGCGAGCAGAAGGGCTCTGCAAATATTGTAGCAGCAATTTTGCTTTGCTACGATAAGTTTTCGGAACCGATTCCAATATTTTATTNACACTTTTCTGCTTTTGTGAACGAAATTTCAACGAATCGCTGCTTTTGGACGCTGTGCTTTGTTCGAGCGTATCAAATGTATCATCAATGTCTTCAAGTTCGTCTTGCTTATCAGCAATATCGTCGGTAACATCTAAGGATGTATCATTGCGATGCTTTAAGCGCTGGCTTCTTATAGAACAAACAAAATAAAGATAACGGCGTAGGATTTCTTTGTACAGCTTCCATTTTTCGCTCACTTCGATATGCAGGGGAGAATTGAGAATTTGACTCATTTCGTTATCAAGACGTGAGAGAATTGTTCCCGGAGTCCGTATCGAATTAATATTTTTCGGATCAGTTATTGCTGTATCGGGAATCTCCGTTGGCGATGTGTTAAGTGCGAAAACGTTTGGAATTTGAGCCCGCTGCAGCTGTTGCAGTTTTTCAAGATTTTCCTGTGAAATCAAAACCATCTTTTTCGCTCTCTCCATATTATATTATTTAGTAACGGCTATTTCCTAATAATTCGCGTTAGCAAGGCTCCAAGTATTGTTGTAATAAGCTGCGGCAAGAACCCGCCGCGTTGCACAAGTAATTTTCTCTTAGATTTCCAATTACCGCGATTTCCGGCAATGCGTCGTAGAGTCGATTTATATTTGCCCAAGTGAACTTTCTCTTTTTTTTTCGAGAGGTACGTTACCTTTTAGCGTATTAAAAACACATTCTCGGATACAGCGAATGAATTTTTCGTCGGCAGCTCGTAAGAAAGAAGTCCTCTGATTCTTTTTCAGATATTACAACGCTTTTAAAAGGCACACGTTTCTCTCGCCAATAGAGCGCTTTGCAATTTTTGCCGTTTTATTCTTCGTTTTTTCTAATGCCGCTACTTTATTATATCTCTCCATCATTGCGACATTGCAACTGTTATCTCTTGACGTCGTGCTAGATGTTTTATATCATGCCGCTGACCGATCTCCGGGGTACATAAACATAATGCATGTGATCACTAGGAAAAATACGTGTACGAAATCGATACTCTTCTGGTGTGGATTGTTTCAAATCTAGCAGTAGATAACCATGGGGCTTTGAAGTAGCGTCGTAATATGCTTCTTCTAAAAATTTTGGGTCATCGGAATAGACTTGGCGTGCTAAATGACGAATTTGGGCTCGATCGCGCGGATTTTTAAAGATTACAATATAATTTGTGTTAAGCGATATGTCCCGTTGTCCACGTCCCTGATGAAACAGATTTTGCGAAATAAGAATAACGCTAAGATTTTTATGATGACTGCCTTTAGTAAATAGATCGACAATCGTGGCGCACGATGAGGATTCTCTCATCACATCATCAATTATTACTAATTTTGTACAGTAGGGGTCATTGGAATAATCTTCTGTCCGAGGCAAGCTCTCGCGAAATTCAATTCTAGTTTTTTTCTTTTTTCCACAGTTATCATTGTGCGAATCGACGTCGCTTTGCAGCTTATGATATGCTTCTTGCCATTCGGCATAATAAAACAAAATTCTCTCGAAATGCACATTAGCCATTACGGGTAAATANCTGAGCAACGTTTTTACAAAAATCGTTTTTCCGCAGCCTGTAGGTCCGCAGACGATAGATGTCCACGGATGTTTCCAGCGTACATCCATATTAAAGAATGAACGATTTGTCTATATTCATCTGTACATAAAACTTTATCAAAGGGAAGCGAGGAGATAATAATAAGGCTAACATCATTCTAGCGCAGAATTCGAATACAACGTATGCTCGAAATGACTGTAAAGGATATATTATATACAATCGTTTTTTCGACAGGTAGCGGCTTTCTTTTTTGTCATTTTGTACAATATTTGTAAAAGAAATATCAGGAACTATAGAATCAGCATTGTAAAAGCTAGAAAATAATTAGGAAAAGAAAATCAGAGTTCATATTACTTTTATTGTTTTTATTAAAAAATACTAAATAATCAAGACGTACAGCGTAGGAGATGGAAAAAGCAAAAATAATTTTGTCTATTATGGCTTACTTAACTAATTTTATAACTAATATTGACAACTAATCTTATAACTAATTTTATTAGGTTTTTTCACTTAGACGTAAAAAATATAACAATAAATTTATTTACATAAAGCAGCATAGATACTAGAGAGGATAAGAAAGTGGCATCGATTTATTACCTAATTATGCTATTAAGTACAAGTAATTATGTTAATCTTAAAACTTATAAGATTGCGAAAAGTTTTTATTCCGTTTTGTAGCCATAAGGAACAGAATATCTCTTTTCGATAAATCTTCGCTTTACTAATACCGGTGTGCACAATTTAGTTTCGTCGGTGGTTATAATTTCGTGGAATGCAGTACGTCGAATTGCTCTGTAACGTAGATTTATCGTCGCGTCTATTCCGCGCGTCTCTGTATCGCGCTTTGCTTTTTCACTACGTTTGATTAATTGTTTTATGCTATTGAAATTAACCAACTGCGATGTTTCATAATTTAAAGTTACCCCTTTAACTTTACATATTTCGTGAGTATGTCCTTCGGGAGTGCGAACCACATACGCAAAAAATTTAGGTCCTCCAGATACAAATGATTCAATATAGCTACCTCGCCCATAACTCTCAAGCTCGTCGGTCATGTCCCCCAAAAAATTTCCCGTAGGCGGCTCATATTCGCAAGGAACGCCGTTGCTCAAATATATACATGAGTCAGTATCGCAGTATAGAACACGCTGATCTAATTGCTCTAAATATTCATATAATTTTAAACGGGCTTGCGCTGTTGTGTAAGCTGCTATTACGACGTTCGTCAATGGACAGGGTATGACTGCCTCGTGTCTCAGCCGCCACGAAATGTACATCATGTCATCGTTCACGGGTAACATGTCAATTATTTCATGTTCAGGACTTGCGAGTAACTCCAGGAGCCGCTGACGCGTTTTAACAACCTCTGTATTTGGAAGATTAGAACGCTGTCCGAATTTTCCCCAAAAAGAATTTAAACATAATTTTGCAACCGAGCGTAAACCGGAATTCTTCGCGATATTACTTTTATCAAGCGTGATACCTTCTGTTTCTTCATATTCTCTTAAGTACCGATCCTTAGCGACCTCGTCCGTACATTCTCTAGGCCAACCGCTCGCTTCTTGTTTAAGTTGCAAAAATGTATTTATATATTCGCTAATCAATCCGCCGCGTCTCGCGTCCCGATCGTAACGAGTAACTTTATATTGCCAAATTTCGCTTACTTCCGTCACGCGATAACCTTTTTCAATAGTTCCAAAATATTAAAATTCTAAGGCTATATAGAGCCAGTGCAGGGTGATGTGCATTTAAATAAATGTGCTCAGATATGTTTCAAAACGTTTCGACTATAATTCAAGTCCTTATCAATTGAATCTATTAC